TTTTCTATTCTGTGTTTTTAGGATATTACCAACTCAATGGTAGCAACATTATTCATGCTTGTTGTGTCTGTGTTGGCATTGATACCAAAACCTTCTTACTTGTTACAACTAGTATGTTCATGCTCCTGTGTGTGTGTGTGTGTGTGTGTGTGTGTGTGTGTGTGTGTGTGTGTGTGTGTTGAGGGGCGGCATCTTTCAAGTTTCTTCAGGTTTGATCAAAATGTGAATTTATTTGAAAATATGATACAGGCAAGCTGCACTGTATTTGTGCCAGAGACTCCTGAACTGCCATACAGTGCCTACTGGCTTTATAATTTGTGTGAGTAGATGCATTCCCTGACTAGCATAAGTAGACAAGGTTTCATACTGGAGTTATCCAAATAAAGAGGTCCCTACATGTTTCTTATAGGGATGTACCAGACTGAGAGAAGCTGATAGAATCAGCTACAACCCTTAGCTCTGAGAAACCTGATGTTGAACAGAAAGAAAGAAACATGGTGTGTAGGTTTTCTAGTTCTTCTTTTAAAAGATTCACAACACTTGTTAGGTGAGACCAAATATTCCCATAATGCTTCAGATGCAATAGAATAGATTTCCTTACTGCAAGGGATGTGGTTGAAAACCTTGCAACTAAAGGGCTATTCTGAGGACTGCTTACAGAGAAGCAAGTCAACTAGGTCACACTTGATCCTGACAAGCCAAAATGGAAGAGCTCAGTCATTTCATTATACCTCCAGCTGGTATTTTTCCAAGATTTGGTCATTTGGCTTTTCTTGGCTCTTACCTAGAGAACTGAATTGGAGAATTCTTCCTTCCTGCTTCCTGGTTCTCTCTTAGCAAGGACTATATAGAATTGACTGTGCTTTGCCATGTCTGTCAGAACCCTGGGTTTCAACTCCTCTAGGCGCTAAGCCACTTCACAGATTATATAATTTTTCTAGAAATGAGGTATGCTGAAATGCCAATCTCCCCGAATTATTTTAAAGACAATTTTATCTATTTAGTATGGAAAAGGTGACCTAGTCATAGGACTCAAATTCATTGATTGAGTTCTCCTTTCCTTTAGTCATTGCATAAGTGCTTAGAACATAGAACTGTTATCCAGTGCAGCAGCCAGTACTCATATGGCCACTGAACACAGGAGATGGGGTTAGTATGACTTGAGATAAGCTCTGAATATAAAATATGCATTGAATTTCAGAGATTGTATTATCTCTGCAAAAGAACATAGAATACATTGCTAATAACTTATTATAGCAATGATTTATAAAGGGATAATAGTTTGGATATGTTGAGCTAAATAAATGTATTAAAATAACTTCACTTTTTTTCCTCTTTAAATGAAACTCTTGGAAATCTTAATTATGTGGCTCACAATGGAGACTACGTATTCCTTCAGGGTGGTCCTGGCCTGGTGCATGAGGCTCAACTAGCCTCAAGTTGCTTAGAGCCTAACACAAGAGATGAGTGCAGCCAGCAGTGCGTACGCCATTAATGGAGGCTGCCCGGCCCTGAAGAGAAGACAGAGCTGTAGCTCTCTGGCAGGAGAATTGCAGCTTGCTCTATTTCCCTTTAGCTCAATTGTATTTTCCTCAGGCCTGTCTAGACTCCTCTGCCTGACATGGGTGTTGCCCAGCCTTTGAGTGTTCACTGTGGAGCATCTTATCGCTCCAGTCCTACAAAACTTGTGTCACTACTACAGTCCCCAGGACTTAATTTGCTGCCAGCACCAACTCTTGACCCGATCAAGGATGCTGATAGAAAAAGCAAACAGCTGACCACTAAAGAGAGAACTGTTGATTGGTGGCTAAATCCAGTCAGTAGAGCTTTAAAGAATGTGTGCCAGAGCAACTCAGGAGGAAAAGGCAACTTCCCTTCCACCTCAAGGGTGCTTCTACTCACTGCCATTACCACTTCTTTTACTGTGGAGAGGTATGGGGGAAACTTAGCAATGACCTCTAAAGAGAGTCCCTTCCACTTTCGTGTTGGATGGTAGCGCGGAGAACAAGCTCTGTACCCTGGCAGGAAAGAAATCTAGTGGGCATTTGTGTGGCAGAAGCTGATGGCGGCGTCTCTGTTTGCAGGTGTTTGGTCTTCTAACAGCAGTATGTGCTATTGCTGACTGTGCCCTGGTGTACCGAAAACTTCTTCTTAATCCAAGTGGACCTTACCGGAAACGTTCTCCTGATTACAGCAAAGATGAAAGTCAATAATTTGTATTCATTTTTACTAGTTATTAAACATATTTCTTTATTCTTCCATATATTTTCGGCAGTTCTTTTTTTTATTTTTTTATTTTTTATTTTTTATTTTTTTTTTTCATTTCAATGTGTGTTCCAGCTAGTTTTATGTCCGTTTGACCCAAGATAGGGTCCTTTGGAAAGAGGGAACCTCAATTGAGAAAATGTTCCAGATTGGGAGACCTGTGGTACATTTGCTTAATTGATGATCGATGTGTCCTGGGTGCTGTAAGAATTCAGGTTGAGGCCGGGCGGTGGTGGCGCACGCCTTTAATCCCAGCACTCGGGAGGCAGAGGCAGGCAGATCTCTGTGAGTTCGAGGCCAGCCTGGGCTACCAAGTGAGTTCCAGGAAAAGGCGCAAAGCTACACAGAGAAACCCTGTCTCGAAAAAACCAAAAAAAAAAAAAAAAAAAAAAGAATTCAGGCTGAGCAAGCCATGGGGAGCAAGCCAGTAAGGAACACTCCTCCATGGCCTCTGCATCAGCTACTGCCTCCAGGTTCCTGCCTTGAGTTCCCACCCTGACTTGCCTAGATGATGGACCTCAAGCTCTAAGATGAGATAAACCCTTTCCTCCCCAAGTTGCTTTTGGTCATGCTGTTTTCTCACAAACCCTTAGATGATGTGGGAGCTTGACAGATTTTTTTGGACCCTGCACGCTGCCAGCAGCCTTGCTGTATATGGCTCAGAGCTGGAATCTGGCCAGGCATATCCCGCAAACGACCACAGAACCCTCTCCTCTGGGTTGGCTGGCAGCGGCTCCTGTAGGCGTGGTTGCTGGTTTGAGTTTCCAGGCTAAGCAAAGCGCCTTTCCCCAGATCACCACAAGAATACCAGACTGCTAGGCTAGGCCGCAGCTATCAGGGGCAGGTGCACGCGGGATAGGCTGCCAGCAGCCGTTGACGCTGGTTCCCCAGGGGACGGGCGCCGACTGAAGTCCCAGGACCAGCCTGACACAGCCAGGCTTGGGATACACCATGAGTCCTGCATCCGCCAGGCATGAGCTCAGCCGTGAGTCCATTCACCCTCCCAGCCGCACAACATCACAATCTGAACTCGGGGATGTTCCCTCACGCTCAGAGTCACTGGTGTCTATCACCTCTGTTGCCCCTCCCAAAAATACTCCACTGAATGGCACATCATTCAGTAGGTCTACACGGTCAGTGCACAAAGAACAGAGTACCAGCAAATTACCACCAATGAAACCCACCCAGAGCCAGAAGGCGCGGCCTGGCCATGTGTCTAAGAAAATTAAGATACGTGCATCGTTCAAAAGACGGGCTGAGGGCCGGGCTAAGGTCCCCAAAAGACTCAGAGACAGCTCAAAGAATTTTATCTTCTCATCTGCTGGAGTGTTGAAGGTCTTGAGGATGGTGAGCAGAAGCTGCCCAGCTGGATGGATGGGGGAGGGGGGGCGGTGGCTTCCAGCACTGAGTGTAGAGTTTTTTACTCCCTTTCTTCCAACACTTTTTTTTTTTTTTTTGAGATAGAATATCACTAATATAGCCCTGTCTGGCCTGGAGCTCACTATGTCGACCAGGGTGGCCTTGAGCTCATAGAGATCTGCCTGCCTCTGCCTCCAGAATGCTGGAACTAAACGCTGGTGCCACCACCACCCCAGTACCACACAATTCTCAGTACTAAATTGGTAGGTTTTACCCCTCCCTTTTCTTTTTTTAGGATTTCCTCTCACAAATAAAAGTAGAAAAGTACTGAGTAAATAGAAAGTTGTAAACCAGCAAGCGCGACTGATAAGGACTGCCATCTAAAAAACCTATTCAAGCCATACCCAACAGTCAGTAATCCAGGAAAAGGGAAAAAGGGAACAGAGACTTAAAATGAGAATGGGGAAATGCCCCTAAACATCACCAAAAGTGAAAGGACCTGCAGATGGAGGCATAAAACTTCTGGGGAGGAAAGTTTAATAATGACCCAAACAGACCCCAAAATAGAGAAATTCAAACAGAGCAACATATAAAAGCAGAGGGAATGCGAGGGGCCTGTAAGGTGGCTCAGTGTGTAAATGCTGCTATGACCAGTCCTGAAGACCAGACTTCCATCCCCAGAACTCAGATGGTGGGAGGAGAGGACTAGCCCTGTAAATTCTCCTCTGACCTGCACATGCCCCCTCTCCCTACCTATACACAAACATAAACAGGTGGGTTTGTTTGTTTGTTTGTTTGTTTGTTTGTTTGTTTTTCATTATAAAAGTGAATCAGATCAGACATATTTAGGGTCAGCTCTTTCAGATCATGAGATATCATTTTGATGATGCTCTAGCTTTTTTAAGAAACAGACACTTTGGAATGATGTGTTTTTCTGAAGACTGAGTCCAAGGCCTTGCACTTGCCAGACACTACCACTGAGCTATATCCCCACCCCTTCCTGAGCATCTGCTTTACCAAGTCTCTCTAACACTGACGTCAACACTTGTCAGGTTTAGAAAAAGAACACAAAAGAGAGATCTCTCAGCACCAAAGCAAAGATTGATGTTCAGGCCCAGGGTGCTTAGCAAGTGTGAGGTCCTGGGATGGATCCCAGAGTGGAACAAACTGTTACCATATTAACAAAAAATATCCATCTGTATTTTTAAAACATATACCACAAAACACAAGAATGATTTGCTCTTAGGACTCTTAAAATAACCCACCATATTATAAGTGAAGGTTATGAGATTAAATCAAATAGTGTTTGAGAACATGTGAAAAACTTGAATGTTTGTTTCTGGTTCCCAGAAAGGAGGAAGAAGAAGAGAAGGGACCTATAAAATAAGAATAGAGATTTCATTGCCCTTATAAAACTAAACATCTTTACCCCAAATCAGCAAAGTCTTCACTTAAAATATCACAAGTATTCTTATTCAAATGAAGAAGAAAAGCAATGCCTACCAACATTAGTGGGGGCTTTTCTGGAATGACTAATCATAATTAAGGAAAAGAAAAAAATACTTGAAAAGAGGCAAAATATATTTCTTTCCACTGATATGATTATAAAATTTAAATCCACTGGGAGACTATATAGAACATTTAGCTGGGTAGCAATCAAATTAGTAGACTAAAAAACTTTCTATAAATAACTAAAATGTAAGAAGCCAAGCGTAGTAATGCACTCCTTTAATCCCAGCATTTGGGAAGCAGAGGCAGGCAGATATCTGTAAGTTCGAGGCCAGTCTGGTCTACATAGTGAGTTCTAGGACAGCTAGAGCTACATAGTGAAACCTTCTCTCAAAAACAAAATAAAAAGAAAATGTTTCTCTTCACTACAGCCATCAGAATGATCAATTTGGCTAAGAAGTAAGAACAAAAACCTGTAAGAAGAAAACTTTATAGAGAGGGAAACACACCAAAATAACAATTTGTTGTTAGAAGTTAGATGAAATCCCAATTAAAACGTCAACAGGTTTAGTGTAGGGACACAACCAAGACAATCATGGTATCATAAACAGTCTGAAAATGAACACTGAGAGGGCTGGGTCAAGCAGCAGTACAAACGATGAGCCACCCCACCATTGGAAAAGTACCCTGGAGGCTGGGGAAATGGCTCAGCAGTTCGGAGTACCTGCTGCTCTAATTGGGCTGCGTTTCCAGTGCTCAGCTCAGTTGGATCACCATCCCCTTTAACTCCAGCTCCAAAGATCTGACACCCTCTCTGACCTCTATGGACACACACACACAATTTTTTTTAAAAAGTACTTTTAAAAAAAGTACTTTAAAATTGACAACTCAATGTGAGACAATAGACTCAAAAGAGACACAAGTATATTTGAAAATTTATTATATGACAAAGATTGCATTTTTCGATCATTGGGGGAAATCCTAGCATCTCCCAGTGAATGACTGATGTGATCGACTAGACAGAAAGAAAACCGAGGTTCTGCGTCACTATTTCTGTCAAAATCAACATAACTTAACCAATACATTCTTGGGTTTCCTTCCAGAAATACAAACCAGTAGTAGTGATTTTTTTTTCAGAAGACAGAGTAGCCCATGCCTTTAATTCCAGCACTCAGGAGGCAAAGACATGTGGTTCTCCGTGAGTTTGAGGCCAGCCAGAGCTACATAGTGAGATCCTATCTGAAAAACAAAACAGAGAGAGACTAGGTTTGGATAGAGAAGAAGAAAGAAGTTTAAAAACTTTTCTGTGTTCAATCTTTATTTGCATTTATTATTTAACATCTAAAAATACTTTTAGATAGGGCTGGGAATGTAGCTCAGTAGTAGATGGCTTGTCTAGCATGATGAAGATCCTGGGTTTGACCCCTGGCACTGAAAAATTAATTAGTTAATTAAAAATTGAAAAATGCAAGCTAGGAATCTAACTCAGCAGTAGCATGCTTACCTGGTGTATGCCAGGCTCTGAGCTCAAGCCCCAGTACTAAAAACAAATAATTAATTATAAAACAATTAAAAATAAAATATTTGTGGAAAACACTACAGGCATGGCCTGGAAAGATGGCTCTGAACAAAATTGCCTGCTGCACAGGCCTGACCTCCTGGGTTCAGACCCTCAGAATCCATTCAGAAGCTGGATGAGGCAGGATGCAGTCTGAAATCCCGGCATTCCTGCAGTGAGATGGGAAGCAGAGACAGGAGAATAGCCCTGAGTACACAACATGGCAGCAAACAGCAAGAAGCCCTGTCTCAAACATGGTGGAAAGTGAGGCCTGTTGCCTGAGATTGACCTCTGATTGCTACATGCATGCCATAACACTCATGCCCTCACACATAAACTTGTATACACACACACACACACACACACACACACACACACACACACACACACTTTTTTAAATACAGGCTACTGCAGTATAATCAAATTAAATGTAACAAATGCTGCCAGTTAATATGTGCTACTGCTAAATAGCTACATGCATTGAACAAACCTGTTCTTTTCTTGCAGTGTCTTATTGCAGCATCGGTGGTTTGTTTCATCATTGGTGGTGCCCATGAGATGTTTGTAGCAATCACAATTCAGGAAACCTGCATCGTCCTATTTTTTATCATAGTATATTTGGTAACCCTTCAACACTTGCTGATCTGTATACAATGGCCTTTGCTTGTAAGTGTTCATTTTCATAATTCAAAGCTAAGCTTTGCTCATAACCCCAAGAGTAAGCTTGTCCTCATTTTCTTCCAGGGAAGACAAGAGATCTCTAGACAAGTGCATAGCAGAGCTATGACAGAGTATTGTCCTGTCCTGGGGAGAAACCACCCAAAACTCAGGAAGGTCCCTTGGACTCCTCTGTTTTCAGGACAGTCTCCTGCTTTTAGCTGAGAGTGCAGCGTCCATCCCAAAGGGCTTGTGTGAATGAGCACGTGCCATATTTTCTCCTTGTCCTAATGAAGAGGAGAGATGCTTATAAAAGAGTGTATGTTTCTGCTTTTCAAATAGTGTCACCCAAGTAGATTTATAACCCACCCCAAACAAGAGTTGGCATAACAGAGTTATGGAATATTTATTTGTGTGGGTCTAGGAGCCATGATCTTAAAGGGTGGTGGTATACAGGAAAGGATGCTATATGGCTTTTTCCACATGTTTTTTACCATTGAGAATGCCAGAAGCTAGTCCTGGAGGACCCTAGCTCTCCAGCAGCCAAAGTAGGTCCAGTCCCTTGCCTTGGGGCCTTCCTTACCAGCTCTGTGACCTTTATATTTTTAGAAGGATGTTTGAAGGGGGTTAGATAAGTCTTTGCTATATAGAAAAAGCTAGACTTGAACTCACAAGGTAACTTAGGCTGCCCTTAAAAATAGCATCCTCCTGCCTTAGCCTTCTGAGTACTGGGATTACAAGCATTTGCCATCAGACTCCTAAGACCTTGTAGCTTCATTTTCCCCATCTAGGAAATGCAGAAAGGAGGAAGAGTATGGAGGAGTCCCTACCTCATAGGGTTTCTGTAACATTGGAATGTGTATAAAGATGGCATAGTACTTAGCACCAAGTACACACTCAGTACATGGTATCCAGAAAAGAAAAACAAGCTGCCACATACCATAAGGTATTTGGATAGCTTTGGCCATTCTCTCTTACTGTGAACAATCCTGACATGGCTCCCATCTCTTCCACATCTCACTTCCTTTGTTTATGTGTGGAATTGAATCTAAGGCCTGTGCATGCCATGAAAGCGCTCTACCACTGAGCTGTATTTCTGTCTTTCAAGACTCATGTCTCCGAGTATTTGGCTAGCCTGTGTAAAAGTGCACTGCAAACATGCCTGGTGCCCATAGAAGCCAGAAGAGGGCGCCAGATCCCATGGAACTGGAACTATAGTCAATTGTGAGCTACCACACTGTGAACCCAATCCAGGTCCTCTGCAGGAGCAGCAAATGCTGTTGACTGAACCACCTCTCCAGCCCCTCACCTCTCTTTTATATTTTTTTCTCATTTTAAGACGGGGTCTCGGCTTATTTCCCAGGCTAGCCTTGAACTTACTCTGTTGCCTAGGCAGGCCTTGAACTTGACAGCTGGAATTACAGGCCTGTGCTCCCAAGCCCAGCCTCAGTTCCTTATAGTACATTATTTCTAACCTTAAAGTGGAGTGGGTTGCTGGTGAGCTGGATCTCAGATGTTCTCTTCAACTGTACGAGGCTTTTTTTTTTTTTTTAAAGAGACTGCTGAACAGTGTCTATACCACAGAGTAACAAGCCTCAGAACACTGACGAAACATGAGCTGCTATCATTGGCTGCACGGAAGGACCTTAGTTTGGGGAGCTATTAACTACCAGAAGGTTTCTGGGGAGGGAAACTAAAATCTCTGCCCACGGCAATTTTCAAGGGAATATAAGGTAGGCATTTCTAAACACTTGCCACGCCTTTTCATATCTTGTTTCGTTTGATCCTGCCAAGCATCCAGGAGGGCTGTGACCATCTGCCACTCCCTCCTTAACAAATGAAACTACTGAAGTGAGACGATGAAGTTGCCCACAGCCATATTTGGTTTCACTGGAACTCAGACTTGAGGTCAGGCCTCTCTGACTCTAAAGCCCAGACTTCACAGGCTTTAGCATCTTGAGGCAATTATTCCAGCTTCGTTCAGCCCAAACCACCTGCCTGAAGCCACGTCTACGCCTTCCCCATGTTCTCTGGCTTCCTAGTGATTTTCTCAGAAGGTGAAGCCAGTACCGTGATGGGTGTATATAGGTGTGAGTGACTGAGTAGGAACTTATGAAACTTGGAGTGACTGCCATAAGATCTACTTGGGTACCATGCCAAGGCTTTATTTTAAAAACCAACAACAACTCTTTCGAAGGATTTTAACTTTTTATTTTTAATGGTGTGTATGCATGGTGGGGTGAGGTGGGTGCACAAGAGAATGAGTGAGTGCCGGTGGAGACCAGAACAGGGTGTTGGATCCCCTGGGGCTAAAGTTACAGGCCATGGTGAGCTGCCCAACATGGGTTCTGGAAGTTGAACTCGGGTCTTCTGCTGAGCCATCTCTCCAGCAGGAAAGATTTAAGAAGAAATAGAAGGAAAGCTAAAGAGAGCCATGAGACACCATGCCTCACGGAAAGGTACATAGGAAATATCCAGGAAGTAACCCAGTCAGGCTGGCTAGCAAGCAGTTCTTGGGCACATGCTGGCCATGAGAGAACTTCTGCTCACAGTGGTCATGGGAAACTCGGGGCCAGCTCTTAAACTCCAGGCCTTTGATCAACTCCAGCACAGCCAGCTCTTCTAACCACAACCATCTGATGGGAAAATGCCCTCTTTTCTCTGAAGAAGGCTATGAGCACCACCCCCCACCCAGTAGGATTTAGAGCCCCTGTTCTTTTTTCCTGCTATTGTTCTCCAGGGCATGGGCCAGTGTCTGGCAGAGCATCAGGAATACACCTAATGAGTTCCTCAGAGCCTAATGGGGAAACTGGATGACTAAGGTTGTCCAGGTATTGGGATGTTCAAAGAACAAGTGTACACATAATAAACCACTACACAGCTGGGCAAGTAGGGAATGACCTAACAGACTTGAAGTGCTTCTAACCCTTCAAAATAGGACCCAAATTCTTGTCTCTTATCCTCTCCCTTCCTTTCTAGTCTTCCCCTTTCGGGTCCCACAAGATGAAGGACATATGCCACTTTGGTGCAACTAGTTACCACTGGGTAGTAATGGGGAGCCCCTGGTCTGGCAGGAAATGTGCCATTTTAGTGAGGGTATTGGTGGTGGGGAGAAGACTCAACATGGTAACAGGTAGATGGACTAGTGGATGTGTTGGCATTTAAGTGGCAGGAGTCATGTGGGATCTATCACAAGACAGGTGGGGGAGCCCCAGAACTGGTTTGGCCTCTGCACAGTCTACGGGTACCCAGTGTGCATGGAGCTACTTCCTTCCAGCCTTTCTTTCCAGACAAAATTACTTGGTACAAAACGTATAGGGTGAAGGTAAGTGGTGATTTCTAATTTAAAGGCCCCTATAGGGATAGAGTTCTTTCACTTCCCGTTTTTCTTCTTGTCTGACAATGGGCTGAGGGTGGAGCTAGGGATGTAGTTCAGTCAGGACAGACTTGCCTAGGACACCCAAGGCCCTTGGTTTGATTTCTAGCACTACATAAACTTGGTGTGCTGGCATACACCTGTCATCTCAGCACTCAGGAAGCAGGGAGATCAGAAGTTCAAATACCAAGTTCAAGGCTAGCCTCAGCTACATGAGTCTCTGACTAGGAATAGAAAAAAAACAAATACTGAGGGTTAAGATTACCACCTATCAGGGACATAGAAAGGCTAATACCCTTTGCCCCCACCTGACTCCCCCACACACACACATACACACACTCATGAGGTCAGCTTCAATGAAGACTATTTAAGTTTTTGGTGGGTTTTTGTTTGTTTGTTTGTTTTTGGTTTTGTTTTTTGTTTTGTTTTGTTTTGTGATGTATTTTTCCTGGGCCACCCTTTCTGATGAATAATGGAACCTGGACTTGGGATCCCAAAGTTTCCAGTCAGCAGCTCCTTTGAAGTCTATGCTGGGGGCTCTATACCGAGAGGTACAAGCTCAGCTCTCAGCCTCTAGCAAATGTAGAAGGTGCCTCTGTATCACATTCCCCACAGACAGCCTTTTTCTGTGCCGGGGACACGGTCTCCAGTCTGAGGGCTGTTGACTTCATCTAACATGTGCTCATGTCATCTGTCAATACACCCAAGGAAACCATGAATTCTAACTACTGTAAGGTCGGGGCTGTGGCACACATGTAATCCCAGTACTGGAGAAGCTCACACAGATGAAATGTGATTTCAAGGCCCACCTGGGCTACCTAGCTGTCTCAAATAAGCAAACAAAAACTTGCACTCTCCTGGATGAATAGCATGTATTTTCAACACTTCTATATGTTACTAGTATGGTCAGAGCAATTGAGTTCTGGCCAAGAAGAGACATTTTCCAGTAGAAATCACTCTTGTTGTTGTTGTTGATGATGATGATTATTTTTGGTGTGGATGTGTGAGGACAGAGGTGCAGAGTTCAGAGGATGACTTTTGGAAATCCATTCTCTCTTTCCATCATGGGTTAAAGAATCAAACCTATGCTGTCAGGCTTGAGAAGCAAGGGCTGTAACCCACTGAGTCATCTCTCCTGGCCTTTATTTTTATAGTAGACACTCCCTGTGTAGCCCAGGCTAGTCTCAAGCTTAAGTTCCTCCTTCAGCCTCCTGAGCACTATGATTACAGATGTGCACAAACACCTGGCTTAGAAAGAGCTCTTTCTACATAATAAACACACTTTAACCTGAAACTCTAGAGATGATGATGATTCGGAAAGTACCAGAGCATCTGTACATGCTCAGGTGTAGCCATGTGCGAAGGTCCCCTTAACTTTCTTTTCAAGTTAATGAATTTTTTCCTAATATTCAGAAAATTTTCAAACTAAGCATTCAATCTTTTCATTGTTGTTGTTTCTTTGTTTGTTTTTTGAGACAGGGTCTCACTATGTTGTCTTGGCTGTCCTGGAACTCCCTATATAGACCAGGTTGTCTTCAAACTCACGCAGATCAACCAGCCTGTGCCTCCCCAGTGCTGGGATTAAAAGTGTGAGCCACTCACTATGCCTAGCAGCATGCAATCCTAAAAGGCATAGTTTTCTTTTTTTTTCCCTTGATTTCTTTGAGACAGGGTCTCATGTATGTAGTTCAAGCTAGCCTTGAGCTTACTATATAGTCAAGAATGACTCCTGATCCTTTTAGTGCACCTCCTGCATGCTGGGATTGCAGGTGCACATCACTATGCCCAGCAATTAAAAGGACATTTTTTTTTTTGGTAACTATAATTTTAGTTTTTGACATCTTGAAATTATTGGGGGGCTTTGTGGCAAATGATAGTCAAGTAAGACATTCATCTTACTTTAGTGAGAGGATGGCATCTGAGTCTTTGGGGTATTTAGAAGAAAGAATGAGTAGGGATGGCATTCCTAGGGAAGGCAGAGGGCCCTCTATGCACAGCCAAGTGCAATGGCAACTTCAGCCCAGCCATGCAGGATGACATTTCTCATAATGTCCAGAAGAGGCAGACAGGAAAGTCTGTACTTATGTCAAAAGGAAGGGGAGAGAAGAATAAAAATAAAAAGGGAAGAAAGAAAAGAAGGGAAGGAATGGATAAGAGAAAGAAGATGACCGTGAACTTCACAATGCTGAGGGTCCTAGCCACTTCCTGGATGAACAACCCTTCAGCAAGGTACCACAAACTGGGAACAGTAAGAGTCTTTTGTGAGAATTGAATAATTCCTCATATTATTACCTTGGCCCAGTACATGGCACACAGTAAGTGCTCAATAAATGTGAGCTAGCACAGAAAGATGTAGAGGGCAAAGCACAGCTCCCAGAGATGACAGATCAGGAGCTGATTCCACTGTCATGAGGAACCTGAGCCAAGCACGGTGAGCAGTAGTCTAATGATTTAAAATTATGATGAGTGCCAAAGATTAGCTAGATCTATTCATTAGTATATTGTTATCAATGTGCTTTGGTCCAAATTCTCAATGACCTAGAACCATAACTAGCTCATTTTGGCTTTTAAAAGTTAACATTGTTTTCATTTTGTTGGGTTGTTTTTGAGGCAGAGTCTCAATCTGCAGCCCAGGCTGGCCTTGAACATGAAGTGATCCTCCTACCTCAGCTTCCTGAGTTCTTTATACTGTGTCTCAAATTCTCATTCACATCTTTGAGTGTTTTACACAATCATCAAGTACAAAGTTTCCAACTAAGCTTTGGACTCCTGTCTAGCCTCAGCCTGCCTCCCCTCTGCAGGCACCTCTCTTTGAGCCAGCAGAATCCAGCTCAGTCTTATACCTCAGCAGTCTTGCGCTATGGCCTCATGCCAATGTTGACCAATAGTAAAGACATCAGTGCCTTTTCCAGAGATAGGTGACATGACCAGACTCTGGGCTCACCAATCATAACAGGAAGAACACGCAGAGTTTGCAGTAAGTCCATTCTCTGTACATTCACAGAGCAGATATCACAAGTCTACATCTTATGCACTGCCTGTACTTACCAGAGGCACAGTATGTAATGTTTTGGATTCAGTGTTCCATTTAACCCTTGGATCAACGTAATCAATCCCAATCATCATCCCCATATAAAAAAATTAGTAGGCTGGCAGAGGGGTGCTAAAAAATAAAAAAAAAAAAATTAAGAAAAAAAGATCCCAGGTCCCACATCCAAAAATTGGCAGCCAAAGACCCGAGTCACAAAAACACTGTGAGCTTATTTGTTCACATGGGATTGTGAACTCAGAAGCCTTCCGTAGATAATGATGAAAATGGATGCTGCACTTGCAGCCTAAGGTGATAGATAGCTCCTTATTTCTTTCCTGTTCATGCTCCTGATGAGAGTCAATAATGAGTTCAGTACTGACTCCTCTCCTTAGCAATTGTTCAATTGTAAAAAACGTAATAAACTTCCCCAAGATGGCTATTGCATTCTCTGTAGAAACACACAGCATAGCAATTCTTTTAAGGGCTGCTTTGTGATAGTTAAATGAAGTAGTCTGGGAATTGCTTGGCACTTGAAGGGAGCCATTAAGGTCATTATGGTTTCTTACACTGAATGGTCAGGATTCTTTCTACATACACAGGCTCATATCCCAGACAGGCTGCCACCACCACTTAAGCCACTAAGAATGTGGTGAGGAGATAGTTCATTTGGTAAAGTGATAGGCTTGCAAGCTTGAGGACCTGAGTTCAATCCCAGAACACATGTTAAAAAACAAACAAAAAACAGACAAGCTTGTCAGCACTGGGGAGACAGACACAGGAAGACCCCTGGGAGCTCTCTGGCCAGATGGCATAGCCTACTTGAAAAAGTGAGGCCTAGGGAAATGGCTCAGAGGGTACCTGTCACCAATCCTGATGAGCTGAGTTCAATACCTGGGGTTCACATGGTAGAAAGAGAAAACCAACTCCCAAATGTTGTCCTCTGACCTCAATATACATGCATATCATGTGTATCCCTCCTCCACCACACACACATACAATGAGTAAAGTGTAACTAAAGTTACAAAACATAAGATGGACAGCTCCTGAGGAATAACACCCAAGTTTGACACACAGACTTAGAGTCCTCCAATTATATACCTGGTCAAATCATTGTTTTTTACCATAGGCCCTGTCCACACACTGGTCCCACTGACTCCATCATCACTCTACCATCAAAGTGTAGTGTCCCACTCTAAGAGAAACCCTTCCTATCCATGCTCACTCTTCCAGTACACAAAGAGGCAGGCTGGCCTGTAGTTGAAGAGCCTATAACCAAAACACAGAACAAAGGACATAAGAACTGAAAGATAAGCCAGGCGGTGGTGGCACACACCTTTAAACCCAGCACTCGGGAGGCAGAGACAGGCAGATCTCTGTGAGTTCGAGGCCAGCCTTTTCTACAGAGCAAGATCCAGGACAGGCACCAAAACTACACAGAGAAACCTTGTCTTGCAAAACCAAAACAAAACCCAGAATTTGAAGATATATCAGGCTGATTTAATTCTGGCCTTGTCTCAGACAAGAGCAAACAATACAGCCATTCACTTCAAAAAATCAAGTCTGCTCTTCAGATGGGTTTAGGTGTTCTCAGGATACATGGGCTCACAAAATAATAAATATAACCTAACTTCTAGAGCATTAATTTTACCTATGGATATAGGAATATATTGAATGAATGAACTACTAATATAAAATTTATCCACAAACCCATATATTTACATATATTAAAATAAATAAGTTATGGGATAAAATGAAGAATCCACACTAAAATATAAAACTTCAAAAAAAGTCATGTTATGGAAGGCTAATTTTGGCCAGTCCTAGACCAAAGAATCTAGAATTGCTGTACCTTTAAGAAAAGCCATGGAAGGGGATTGAGAGATGGCTCCAAGGTTAAGACTCCACAGAGTACCCAAGCTCAGTTCCCAGCACCCACATAAGACAGCTCTGTGTGTGTGTGTGTGTGTGTGTGTGTGTGTGTGTGTGTACACATATATATAAAGAAAAGCCAATAGAAATGTTAACGTCCTTAATGATCTTCTAAAGAAATCAAACCTATTTCTACAAAGTCCTATACAAGACCTTAAAATCACATAGACTCAAATCTCTGAAAACCATAATTATACCCCTGAAGGTCCCTGTCCATCAAAGAGAAAGTGTTTAAAAGGTATCCACTCTTAGATGGGCAACTGACCTGTTTGAATATTTGGAAATTACATTCTCATTTACAGTTGACCAATTTCAACTCTGCATTGCAGGATCTTATCAACAGCATCATTTCAACTGTGTTCCTTGGAGTAGTTGCCATACTAACATTGCAAGAAAAAGAAAGAAGGCACTGGTCCTATGTTGGAGGGGTAAGTAGAGGCCTCTATGAATCTATTTAAGAACAGTGGTCTGGGGTCAGTGAGATAGACGGCTCAGAGGTTAAAGACATCTACCACCCAGTCTAACAATCTACAATATATCCCCAAGTCCCACACAAGTGCATATACATACACAGACAAATACAGTCATACAAACATTTTAAATTGAAAATAATATACCCAGTAGTGGTGGCGAACACCTTTAATTTTAGCACCAAGGAGGCAGAGGTAGGAGGATCTCTGTGAGTTTGAGGCCAGTATGGTCTACAGAGTGAGTTCCAGGAGAGCAAATGTTGCAAAGAGAAACCCTGTCTTGAAAAATAAAACAAATATAAATAGACTGTATCAGGACCCTGGAAAAGGAAGGCCATCATGGTGTTATTAACAGGATAGAGAAGACTTATTATTAATTTCATGGGGGGGGGCTGTATGTAGGTATGTGTACACACATTCAAGTAAGAGTGGAGATCAAGAAAGGACTTTGGATCTGAAACTAGAGTTAAAGACAGCTGTGAGCCTCCAAATGGGGCCTGGGAACCAAACCTGGGTCCTCTACAAGGGTAGCAAGAGCTCTTAACCACTGAGCCATCTCTCCAGACCCCCTTCTCTTTCTTGTAATGACATCTTCAAATGATGTCAAGTTGCTAAAACCTAAATCTCACAAAACATATTCTCCAAATAAGTTTTTGAGTCTACAGAATAACTTTTGCAAATCATATACACTACATATAAAATATTGAAAGAAAAAAATCTTATAATTAGGAGTCTTGGTTATCATTCTATTGCTGTGAAGAGAGACTCCATGACCAAGGAAACTTATAAAAGAAAGCATTTAATTGGGGTCTGGCTTACAGTTTCAGAGGATGAGTCCATGACTATCATGGTTTGGAGCATGGCGGTAGATAGAACCATTGTGCTGGAGCAGTAGCTGAGAGATCACATCTGATCCACAGGCAGCAGGAAAAGAATAAGATTAGGCCTGACTTGGACTCTTGAAACCTCAAAGCCCACCCATAAGGACACACCTCTTCAAGCAAGGAAATGCCTCCTAATCCTTTTTAAACAGTTCACCAACTGGGAACCAAACATTCAAATACATGACCCTGTAGAGGCCCTTCTTATGCAAACCACCACACTATCAGGTTGTTTTTTCTTGGCTACAGAATTATATTAAACACAGATATAAAGTGGGGGCCTTTAGAATTGGGTAACTCTGCTTGTCCAAGGAGGAAGGGATCCTGCCTATGGTAAAGTACCTAGTGTGTGCCCAGCACAGTCTAGGCACTTCCTTAGTCTTAGACCTTTGTAAATAAGGTCTCCAATCCAGGTCAGTCTCTAACTTGCTCTGTGGTTGAGGATAAACTTGAACTTCTGATTATCCTGCTTCTACACAGACCCTATTCCCCTGAAGGATTATAGGTGTGCACCACCATGCTTGGTTTATGCAGTGCTGGGGATCAAACCCAGGGCCTTGTGCATGCCAGGCCAACACTATGCCAACAGCGCCACTTCCCTGACCCCTGACTTCTTTAAATTTTCAGGTTTACAGACACCTGGGTATGTCCTTAGACTGAGGTTAAATACTTTGTCCTGGGACACAAAGCTTAGATAAACTGAGCCTAAATCCATATCAAATGGAAGAATGCAAGAAATAGCTAATCAAATGTTTAAAAAACAGGAAGAGTAAGGAAATGGAACTGGGACTAGGTTCAATAATGTGGACAGAAATTAACCAAGAAAAGAAAACAGTTTAGGACAGAGTGGTGTCTCAGTGGTACGTGCCACTAAGCATGATGAACCCAGTTGAAGTCCTGGAATCCACACAATGGAAGGAGAAAGCTGACTCCTACCTGTTATCTCTAACCTCCAAACACATGCTGTGACATGTGCAGGCCTACACACACACACACACACACACACACACACACACACACACACACACACACCAAAGAAAGAAAGGTAGAAACTTTTAAAAAGGATTTAAATTCTTTAAGTTCATTTCATAAATTGGAGAACATTTGTTAAAGCCACTGCATTGTGCCAAGCTAGAATTGGGCACTGGAAACAAAGCCCTCACCCTGAGAAACTCACACAGGGCTGCAACAAGGCCTAATAAGAATCTGTCATCAGGTAGCCCACAAAGAGAAACATCCAGGGCTGGAATACCTGGTGCTACCATCCCTGGTACCAATCTGGCAACTCATCAATTGAGCTGTGTACTGCCATGGTCCCCCACACCCCCTCCTTCATTTCTTCTTGCCTGTACTGGCATCAGCCCACCTCCATGTCTTCCTGCCTTATCCAGCTTCACTCTCCCTTCATCTCATAGTAACTGCAGGTGCATTTTCTGAATCTCAAACCTGTCCCCTCCTCAGAGAGATCCAGACCATTCACCACTCAGGCTCAACTCTGCCACGCACTCAACTCAGAACCGCGAAGGTCATTATCTAATGCACTGGCTTTCAACCTACTTAGTGCTGCAACTCTTTAACACAGTTCCTCATGTTGTGCTGACACCAACCCTACAATCATTTCCAATGCTACCTTATAACTGTAATTTAGCTATTGCTAGGATCATATGTAAATATCTGTGTTTTCCACTCATCTTAGGCGACCCCTGTGAAAGGGTCACTAAGTCCAAGGGGTCACAACCCACATGTTGGGAACCACTGTCATAGTAGCAAGTCATAGGATCAGGCCACTGTGGGCAGCAAACTCCAATGTTTCCCGGACCTACAGTAGCCAGGAGGGACTGTTGCAGCTCTTGACCTCCTCAGATAGGAACAGGAATGAGAGATGGACGCTGTGCTAGTTGTAAAGTAATCTGACCATTACTTCCCACCTGTCTTATATCTGACAGATCCTGTGCCTCTCAGCAGCAATCTTGTGTTTCATCGATGCGTTATTGGTCATCAAGAACATGAATAACATGGAAAAAAGTCCTGGGAATGTAAACTAAGCCTCCACCGCCCCACTGAGGCAGAAGCTATGCTGAAGTCACCCAGCCCTTCCCAGCATTTAGCAGGGACTCCACATATAATCACTCCCTCCAGGCCATCATGAGCTCCCAAGCCCACGTGTGTGTGAGATCATAAAGACAGGGCTGTTAAGTCGGCAACACTTCTGCTTCCTCGTGTGGCCTTGTCTAAAAGTCGCGTTACCCCTCCCACTCCTCCACAAGGTTGTCCCAGGAGGTCAGGAGGGCCAGGACCCCAGGGAGCAACAGCCACACACCTGGGACTTCTTTTCACGGAAGGCCTCACTAAAGCCAGTGGGGCTTAGCGCAAGTTGCTGCATGGAGGGTGGGAATTTCTGGCCTCTGCCAGGGTCGAGGCAATCCTGCTGGTCCGCGAGAGGAGGTGCTCGCGCTGACCAACCATAAGCGTTAGAATTCTGCAGTCCCAGCGGTCAGTTGAGCGCCGCCCTTGAACAGGTCTGAAGACACCAGGCTCTCTCTTGAGCTGGGCCTGTTCAAGGACTGCAGGCAAGTCAGAGCCCCGAGAAATTGAGAACTACTGCTTATCATGGCAGTGCCTGGCCAGCCCAAAGCACAGTCCAAGGATGAGAAGGGCACAAGAAAGGGGTTTAAACGCTACAAGTGGGAATTCAAAGACAGCAATAAAGACTTCTGGCTGGGGGGACACGCCGTGGTCAAGACCCTGAGTATCGTAAGCTGGATTGGAATTCTAGGGGTGTCTGTGGAGGGGAGGGCATCAGAAGTTTTGGAGAGACCTTGCAGCAGCTCAGGTGTATGTATTTTTCCACCCAGGTCTTCATGATCGCTGGACTCAACCGCTTTGAATCAATTGCCGCACATCCCCTCCTGATCCTGATCCTCTCTATGGAACTGTCCTTTTTTGCTTTCTTCATGTTCCTTTACACCTTCGCCATCAGCAGATATACTACTTTCATCTACTGGCCTATGACTGTAAGTAAAGACTGTAGGAGAGGGGGTGCCAATCACATTCTAGCACCTGGAAAAAGACAACCTTGCCTCCTCTACTGGTGCTCAGGCTACGAAGCTGGGTTGTAGAGGAGAAGCCAGGCTGAAAATCATCCCCAAACCTGCCTGTGTTGGGTCAAAGAAATAGGCCCGAGGCTTTGCTAGCCTCACAAATGGGGAAGGCTGTAACAACCAGCCATTTCTGCTAATGCTTTTGCTGGCATACATCTCATTGGAATATCATTCCAGGATTCAAAAGAGAAAATCAAACTCTGCATAAACCAGTAAGGTAAAGTGAAGCAAATTTCAAGCATGACTAAAACAATATCAGGTCTCTGATGAAAATAAAGAATGTTTCAGAAGCATGGTCAACCTGAAATAGTCATCCAATGGGGTGAGGCTGAGCTTAGTAAGTCACTCAAGCATCCATTCCTCTAGTCCCTGATCTGTACCTCAGCATCTGTAACAATCTGTAGGGAGATTGAACTCATGTAAACTTCTTGCCATTGTGTCTTAGGGCTCATGACTCAAATTCCCTCACCTCACTCAATGGAATCACCAAGTGTACCCACCTAACTTCCTCATAGCCAATTAACACCTCAGCTTCCAGCTCCCTTTGTTCATTACCCACCTCTAGAGACCTCTGTTTCCCCATTTCATTACCCTTACAAACCAGCAAGTGAATTGCCAAAAGTCAAATAACCTGCCCTTCAACTCAACTCAACTAGTAAATTGCAAGAAAGAAAAAAAAAAAAGATCAAAACTTAATGAAATATGCTTCTGATAGCTGTGATCACCTACCTATCTGCCCTTTTGTTAAAAGCTGTTAGTGTCCAGGGATCCATCAGTCCTCATGAAGACCTCCAGTACAGGAGAGAAGGAGATGGAACCAAAAGGAAAACAGAATGCACAGAAGACAAAAAGATGGAGACTATGTGTCCAGTGAAGGGACTGAAAAGATCCAGTAAAATAACGTCCACCAAACCATGAAAGTCAATCCTCCTCTACTTAACCTAAACATAGTGATGGAAATGTAACCAATGTTGCTTTTACTAAATAGCCTAGCTAGAAAGAAGGAAGGAAGAGAAATGAGGGAAGAAAGTAGGGAGTGAGGGAGAGAGGAAGGAATGGAGGGAGGAGAAGGAGGAAGAAGAGGGAAGGAATAGAGATAGGATCCAAAGGTTCTCGAGATGGAAAACAGGAGTAATGACAATACAAGCTGTAGATTATTGGGAGTGACTCATGAGGTACCATTTTAGGAACTTGAGATATGGATTTTCAAATAATCTCAAGACAAGAGATAAGGCCTGTCTTAGTTTAAGTTTTTATTGCTGAGACAAAACATCATGACCAAAGCTACTTGGGGAGGAAAGAGTTTATTCAGTTTATACTTTTACATCACAGTTCATCATCAAGGGAAGTCAGGATAAGAACTTAAGCAGGACAGGGACCTGCATGTAGGACATGATGCAGATGCCATGGAGGAATGCTGCTTCTGTCTTGCTCCTCATGCTTTGCTCAGCCTGCTTTCTTATAGAACCCAGGACCACCAGCCCAGGGATGGCATCACCCATAATGGGCTGGACCCTCTCCCATCAATCACTAATTAAGAAAATGCCTCCCAGCTGGATCTTTGGAGACATTTTCTCAATTGAGGCTCTCTCCTCTCTGTTGAATCTAGTTCATGTCAAGTGAATGTAAAACTAGCCAGCACAAGGCCTTAAGCCAAAGCCAAGCAGAGGACTAAGAAATCAAGCCAGCATTATTTCTGGGATTACCATTTCATAATTGCTTACTACAGCTAGCACAGTGGAAACCCTGGCAACAAAAGTAGCTACCACAGTTAGTTAATCTTTCATTGTATTGGGAATGATAAATTTAATTCAGTAGTTATATACATCTCGATTGGCTTTGAAAATTATAAATTTATAAACTCAAGTTCCAGTTGCTTTTGGGATACTATCTTACAAGAACTCCAATGTACAGTATGGCTCGATAAGGAAGGGAATGGCTCAGTTGCCTTTAGCCTACTGGCTATGGGTGAGATAGGACCTCTGTTGGTCTTTTCTGTATCGAACACACAGATAGCAAGCCCAGTGCCACTTTGAGATCTTTGGCAGCAATTAACCATGCAGCTCACACATGATTGAGCCGGAATGATAATGAGTATTCAGAGACAGGTAATGCCTGGGGGCACTTACCAACCTAAGACCGAGCACCTGTGAGGCCTGGGCAGGCATCTCCATGACAGGTAAGGTGACCTGCTGATGTCCCACGCAACCCAAGTCAGAAGCTCATTTTTTTAATAAAAGGGGGACCTGCAGGGCCCTGGCCCCCGTTTTGGGTAAATGTTGCCTTGCTTGCGGACCTTGACCTTGTTGTCCTCCCAATGCTAATTCCCTGCCAGGTTCCACCCTCCTGAATGCTTAAGGGAAGTTCCTTGTCTGTGTATCCTGAATAATGGACATTTACAGCTGAGATGCAAGATTGTAAAACATCAGTAGCAAACTTCTGCCCTCCGGGGTCCTCCCATTGTGCTGTAAGCCTGTATTTAAGACCACCTACCCCCTTCAAGAAATGATATTCGACATTAAAATTATATATATATATATATATATATACACATATATATATATATTTGAATGAAACTTTGAATGTAATCTATGAATACCACAAATGTGATTAATATCATGAGTGTAATTTAAAAAAAAAAAAAAACAAGCTGGCTTTGGTGATGGAATTGGCTCACTTCTTCTCTAAACCCAAGCATATTGCTAAAAGAAAATGTTGAGAGATTCTTCAGTCCCATATCAGAACAGCCCTCTGGTGTGGGACAGAAGGAAACCAATAACAAAGAACCATTGTCTTCAAGATTCTAATTCTCTCCATGCTTACTCTTCATCTCTCGGAATCCTTTCTAACATGTTATGTCCTCTTTAAATCCAAACTTTGCATTTTGATAAAAAAAATAAGTTTTTCAGCCGGGCAGTGGTGGCCCATGCCTTTAATCCCAGCACCCAGGAGGCAGAGGCAGTCGGATCTCTGTGAGTTCGAGGCCAGCCTGGTCTAGAGAGCGAGATCCAGGAAAGGTGCAAAGCTACACAGAGAAACCCTGTCTGGGGAAAAAAAAAAGGTTTTTCCAATAGCAACCTCTGAAGTCTCCAGAAGGAAGATGGGGCCCCAACAACAACAACTCTACCCAATCCAGAATGATGCCATGGTAATCATCATCATACTACACTTCTTGCCAGAATTTCAGACAATCTCACCCATTACTCTAAAACTTGCTGTGGAACCTACAGTTAGTCTAACTGAGATTTAACTATCTGAGCTTTCTCACAGTACCCAACAGAGATACCATCACCCCCCAAACAGCAGGAAGCAATTCTAAGAAAATGACACCCCTTCTCCCTAAGGTTTCATATTTCTCAGGGTTATAGATGATGGTTATAGGGTTGGGGGTGGAAGAAAATATTAAACTCAGTATTCTTCTTAAGAAAAGAAAATGTCTCAAAAAAAGAGAAAAGAAGAAATGGAATGGATAGGAATAAGATATTATGGTAGATTACTGTATATACTAGTAAACAAATTTAGTAAAATAGCAGCCTTAGATAATTTGCACTGTTATGGATTCTTATATGTTGATACAAATGTAAACTATCTTTATATTCCTGTTTAAGATAATTTGTATATTGATAAAAATACAGAACTATATTTGTTATAATGTACATATATTTCTACTCTTATTTGAAATATTTGTATATTGATGCAAATGTAAATTTAAATCTGTCATACTTTATGTATGTTCTACTTCTATGTAGGATATTCTGTATATTGATATATATTTAAGACTATTGTCATATTGCAATTGCACTATATATTCCTACCTCTGTTATAAATATCTTGTGTATTGTCACAAAAAAAAAAAAATCAAGCCAGCATCTGGAGAATACTGCATCCATAGAGGAAAGAAAAGATGGAAGAATATACACATGTTGCCAACACAAAGAAGCAGGAAATATTGATCTGTACTTGACTTGTGGGAATGGGGATAAGAGGCCTGGGTTTTCTTTGAGAATGGGAAAGCTAAGAGCTTTCCCTTGCATAGATTTGGAATCTGAATTTTTTGCTGCCCAGAGTCTAGAAAACACATGCCTTGGGCTGATGATGTTCTAATTACATCCTATGAACTCATAACAGAAATAAATGCAGAACTACAGCCAAAGCATGTGAATTGTGTGTGATACACTTGGTCTTTTAAAAATTCTCCAAACTTGGCCGGGCGGTGGTGGCGCACGCCTTTAATCCCAGCACTCGGGAGGCAGAGCCAGGCGGATCTCTGTGAGTTCAAGGCCAGCCTGGGCTACCAAGTGAGCTCCAGGAAAGGCGCAAAGCTACGCAGAGAAACCCTGTCTCGAAAAAAAAAAACAAAAAAAAAAATCTCCAAACTAAGAATCAAAAATTGGCACACATGGTCCGTGTTTCCATAGGATATGTCAATAATCTTAACACTCAAAAGCCAAAACAGGAAAACTGATTTTCATAGCAAAAATTTGGTATCAAAAGTTAAATATATGAAACAAGTTGGAAGAATGGAATCCTGAGACTCAGAGACCATAGATGAGCTATGATG